CGACAAATCTGCGGCAACTGTGTGATGCCATCATGTCAATATGGACCAAAATCTCTGAGGAATGCTTCCAGCACCTTGTTGAATCTATGCCACAAAGAACTGAGGCAGTTCTGAAGGCAAAAGGGGGTCCAACCAGTTACTAGCGTGGTGTACCTAATAAAGTGGCCGGTGAGTGTACACATACACACACAGGCAAAAACAGAATTATCCTCCTCCTTTTGGCAGCGGGCGATAAATGTGTTTTGACCACAAGCACAGAGGAATCTTTGCAGCTGTTTGGTTTTGTTGAGCTTATATTGCTGAAAATTGAAAGGAACACATGCAGACAACTCTTTGTGTTCAGAATTTATTCGTCTGTCTGTTTGACGTGTCCTTTCATTTACAGCTCCCTCTAAATCAGATGTCTCCAGTCCTGGTCCTCAAGGGCCACTGTCCTACATGTTTTACGGTGGATGTGTCTCTGCTTCAGCTCACTAATGAGTGATTAACAGGCTTCTGCAGAGGTTGAAGACCTGCTGAAGAGCAGGGAAACAAATAAGCTGTGCAGGGTAGTGGCCCTCGAGGACCAGGACTGAGGACCACCGCTCTAAATGAGTAAAGTGTCTGCACAGCAGAAGAATTGGAAACATTTTAGATTGAAAACACGACATAGAAGCTCTTACAGTCTCAAGTGACTACTCAAAGAGAAGGACTGTAATTTAAATTCACCATAACAATAATTACGTTCAAACCAAATTTAAGAGAGAGTTCATWAAAAAAGATTAGACTCAGTCGCTGACTAAATAAAATCCATCTAACAGCAATCAGGTGAATTATGTGAAAAACTAGTTTTCAAGGCTTAAMGTTTTACTGTTAAATTGTCAAACTTTTTATTCAGTCAGTTTTGTTATAAAGAGTATGCTGATAAGTGGATTACCAAAAGATTTATGACATGTCAAAGTCGAGGCCCGTGGCCCAATTGTGGCCCACCATGGCATTTTATGTGGTCCGTGAGAGGTTTAAAGATGTGTTTAAGTTCAGAATTCCTAATAGCAGCTACTCACCACAACTCATAAGTGAAACTCTTACTGTTAATATTATTTCTGTATTATTTATTTCACATTTAGACAGTCAAGTGTTTGTTTTTGTAGTGTCTTCACTCAGACATGGTCAGCAAATTAAAAATTAAAGCTTAATTATTAAATTATTACCTTCATTGTTTGCAAGTTATATTTATTTATAAAGCWTATTTAAATATTAGCTTTAAATATATTAGCTTAAGCTACTTAAACCGAAATAAAAAAAGACATATCTATCACTGTCATTACCCAGCTAACAGTCAAACACCAGCGTCAGCCCAGCTATCGGAGAGACTCAAGTTATATTTCCTCACTTTCTAAATGGAATAAACATAGTCACTTACTGCTTCTGAGTTTCCTTCATCCTCATCGATGACTCCAACATACTTTAGTTTCATGTTTTGTATCATCACCACGGTGCTCCCGTGCCTCGCCAAATTACTTTTGTAAAGCTTGTCACATATTTGTTATTTTTGTGAAGCGTGAAGAGCTCCCACACTTTTTGAAGACTTCTGTCAAACTGTTTTCTCTGCATCGACCATTTGTGGAATTTACTTAATTCCCTTTGAAAATACAGTCTCTGCTTCGTTGCATGCACACACCAAGTTTTTCAAGTTTATGGGCAACTCTCTACAGGTCAAGTGACACATAAATCGCCCAACAAAAYGAATCGATAATAAAATTTGTTGCCAACACTTTTAATGGTTGATTTTTATCAATTTTATCRATTTGTTGATGGAGCTCTGGAGCTGTTTGTACCCATTGTGGTGATGATGTTGTAACAAAAACATAAYTGGCACAAGACTTAAAGCTTTTCAACTGTAAATTGTATGTGTGCTCAAAACTGCACAACACCTGTGTAAAATGCAAAGGTTTATAAACAACTTCTATCAATGCTGTTAGGAAATGATAAACTAAATACTGAGCAGTCATTTTTACTATGAGTGGATCTTAGCCTACATGCATCACCCTGAATGTAAAAAATCTGTCTGGACTGGTCAAACTGAATTAACACATCAGACATCAGTAGAACCTGTACTGGTATCACCTTGTGTGTGTGTGTGTGTGTGTGTGTGTGTGTGTGTGTGTGTGTGTGTGTGTGTGTTTCATTGCTCTGAACTAATTCACATTATACATTCGTATAAATAAAACAAGTATATTTTAAAGTTTCGTGCCAGGGGTTGCATCTCTGTAGAGAATATTTTTGAATGATGCACTTCCTAAAAGCTGTGGGTATTAAACTCACCCTGCAGTGTTTTTAGTTTTGTTCCTGTTAAAGGGATGACAGAGCCTTGGCACCTAATGTGATGGGAAATTTCCCTCTGAAAAYAAATCCTTGTTCTTGGGTTTCATGTTTCTGGCAGTAACCAGAGCATGTTTGCATAAAGTAAGGCATACAATGATCAACTTTTATGTATCAGAAAAGTAAGATTTTTTTTTCAGAATGCATAGCCCTTGTTTAAAGGTGTTTGCCTGCCCAGATCTAGACCACAACATCCTGTGATAAAACGGTAAAATAATGATACAGGAAAAACACGGAGTTGACAGTTGTGTGATGGATTTGATTTAAAGAAAGCAAATATAGAATCATACAAAATTAAACTTACTGAATAGACTRTTTTTGTATATTTTCAATTACTTTACATAATCATAAAAGTGGCAACGGTAAGACTGAATATTTGAGGGGGGAAAAATCTTAATCAAAAAACTTACTTCAGCACTCAAGCTGAGAACATTATGAGGCCCTTGGGATGAAGGGAGAATGACAAATTATTACATGTTTGACTTTTGACACTCCTCCTCATAAATAATCAAGTCAGTAATCACTGACAAATGCAAAATAGTGGGTCTGTGATGAATCTACTTCACCCCAGGAGGGTTGTCTGAGCCAAGTCAGCTGTTCAYCAGAGACACAAACTGTTTGTTGCTCTTCTGGATGATGACTCAAGAAGTTTTTGCTGGTAATTGATCCCAGACAGACTCAAACTATCAGTATGATACAGAAGCCTCGCAGACCTCATGCTAGTTTTTGCATTTGACCCATTAAATGTCAACACATGGTGCACAGTAGACCAGAACTGATCTGCCAAACTGTTAACAGGTGTCTACCTCCTCATGTTATGGCTGCTCTTTCTCTTATAAAGAATGTTAAGAAAATTACATAAGATTTAGCTTCAAATGTACAACTACACAACTAAATAAAAAAAAAGAAATATCAAATAGAAATATTTAATTTTGTCTTATAATATGTAAATGTTTTGCACTGGTAAAGCTCTTCAAAATGTTAAAAAGAAAGGAGCCTTAACRTAATGGGTTAACCAGATGACAAACATCAAAAAAGTATAAAGAGTAGAAGCAAGCCCTGCCCTCAAACTCTCCAGCTGGTCTCAAGGCCACTCCAGCATAATATTTTTCCTTACACTGCAGTTTCCTTTTTAGTCATCATGCCTCCTTTTAAAAGCTTGTTGTTTAGAGGCTGTGAGCTTCATTCATCACTACTGAAGGTCTAGATGGTTATACTCCACGTTAAATGTCAAAGAAGACAGATTTGTTTTTCACAAGCTGATATAATTAGCTGAAGTGACAAATGTATGAGAAAATAAGATTACAATACAATGTTTTTTTTTTTCTTTGTGCAGTCAGTTTAGGAGAGTAATGAGAGGCTCAGCTCCCCTCCTACTTTTCTTTTTTCTTATAAACATTTGTCAATATCTTACACAGAATTCACCCTAAACACTGAAGAACATTGATACTTTATAAAGCAGCATACAGGACTGAGCCTGACGGTTCACAATAACAAACATCACAAATCAAGCTCAGCGTATTTACRTAAAGTACAGGATTTGAAGATTTACTGTAAAATACTTAAAGTTTCATTTTTAGTTAGCCTCAGATTGAGTCATGCATTAAACCGGCCAAGCTTGTTAAAACTACACACCACAGATACAAACACTGAGGCATCATTATGGCTACTCTGTGTGGTTTGTTTTATTGTTGTGCATTGGCTCCAAAGATTCTGGCTTTTACTGTTGTGTGAAAGTTTGTTGCTTATACGAGCTAATTTTTCACTTTTCAGTTTCATGATGGGTGTTTCACCCCCAACTCGGGTTATTAGATTTTTCCAAACGTAAGCTCCAAAATTTCAGATGTAAACATCAGATGAAGCAGTGTTGGAGCATTTTTAGCTCATAAAACTGCTAATGAGAAATTCTGGGAAATAACGGAGTGAACATTGAGTAAGTTTTGAGTTTTCACCTCCCTTTTACAGCAAATGCAGTAAGATTTGTTGTTAACATTAGGAAGATGGTTTATTATGAAGGAGTTTTGGCTGTCTCTGTGTTAATTTCAAATGTTTACTGATTGAGTATTTTAACATAGACAGTTGCAGACRGAGACAGTTTGGTTTTAGTTTGTGGCCTTACAGACCTAGAATAAGTGCAAGTTTTCATGTTTACACTCGTATATGTTTTTCATGTTGATTCTCAGATCAAATGAACTATTAGTGCTTTCTAATAAGTGGCTGATCTGAAGTGTTGGATAAATATTTGCCTCCTGGTAGATTGTTTTTAATTAAAAAACAGAAGGTGTGAGCATGCACACCTTTAAATGCCAGATCCCTGTGGCCCTGAGCACCTAACCTGTCATGGCAAACTGCTAATTGTGTGCTGATGCTGGCATCCTGATCACACATAAAAGGAGCTGTGCTTGCTTTTTGTTGTGATTTATATTGCAAATAAAGTCCATGGAGAGAGATTTCCTACAGTTCACCGGTAGAATTTGCTGATTTATGGAGGTCCTAATTAGTTCTCACCTCTGTAAGAAGGCAGCACAGACATGTGATGCTCCTCCAACTTCAGACAGCAGAGGCACTTCTGCTATGGTAACCTTCTGGGTCAAGGTTTTTATTTATTTATTTATTTATGTTTAGTTTTTTTTGTTTGTTTGTTTGTTTTTCTATTGGAAAAGCCTCATTCAGCTGCTTTTCTTCAAAAAGAAGTCTTCACATTTGAGATGAGTCATTAACTCTGTGTCGGATATAATTCAACCAGATTTATGTGGTCATTTTTGTCAATCAGATCAAATTCAACAGAGCTGAGTTTGTTCATTTTGATTAGCAGATGATTTGGGTTACAGTAAATGATGTGCTGCCATCTGCTGGCTGAAATGTTAGATTAATTGTTGACTAAGTCACTAACTATTGTCTGTGAGGGAGTCTTGATTTCAGGTCTTGAAACGTGTTTCCTAGTTTAGATTTTGAGATAGGACGACAACAAATTAAAGCTGCTGTATGAGGTGTTGGTCTTCCAGTATAACCTTCAGTGCCTGATTAGAGTTTGGGAATTTGGTTAAATATAACTATTTCATTATGAGTTACAAATAAGTCACATATTTTAAATTACTTTTTAACAGTTATACATTTTTCCTGGTGATTTCTTGTTTACCTTATATAAATCAACCACCTACACAAGTTTACCTCTGCCATTATTGTGCTGTAACAACAGGGTGCCTGCAGGCCTTAATGAACTGTTGCACCAGACTGACTGACAGGAAGCATGAAGCCGACAGGAGAACAGTCTATTGAAACAATGGAAGGAATTTTTCAACACCTTTTTTTTTAAAAGGTCATACAAACTGGAGATTGCAAAACATGTTTATTGTTTCTAATTAAGAGAGCTTAAGCTTTTCCACAAGAACAAACAAAATGAGATGGTTGTAAAACACAGGCATGAGGGTTGGCAAAGATAATGTTTAATTTCAAGAAAAGCTGACAGTAGTCTGCTTTACTGTAGGAGAAACAACACAGGAAATAGGCAGAAAGTCTAGTTCAAGCTGTTGATGGTGTGGGTTTTTCTGGGTCACACATGTGACCTTTGACCCACCAGACGAAGCAGAAGTTCATCTAGAAAACATTTATCTTTGATTGTCTCTGCTTACTTTTGTATTACACTGTATACTTCTTGTTGTCATATATGCAACCTGTAACATCTGTGTGGTCGTGTTTCCAAAGGAAATGGCCAAACAACTGCAGGAAGAGGAGGAGCAAAGGAGCAGAGAGCAGGACTCTTTGAGTGAAGGTACAGTATAAGCTTTGCAGTTCAATTTTTAAATGTATAGTTATGAAATGTATGCTTGTGTAACATTTCACCAAAATTCAGATATATCAACTTTTGTTTTTGTTTTATTTTGCTTGACTAAATGTTTAAAACAGGTTTGTCACTATCATTGCATTTGGTGTTTCTTTAGATGTTTCATGAGCATGAAAAAGCATGCCCTMCATAGATATTTATTTCTATTTATTTGTTCCTTCATATTTTTTGTTATGCATGACAGCATGTTTTTAATGGCCTGCTTCTAAACAGTATTATAAAATGTTTAAAAAAATGCTATTAACTAATGTGAAATGGATCTTACTTTTATTAGAAATGAACAATGATATATGAATATTTAAATAGATGTTAAAATATATGAATTTGACTGATTTATGTCAGTGTTCTTCAACCCTGGTCCTCAGGGCACACTGTCCCTCATACTTTTGTTTCCCTGCTTCAACACAGCTGATTTCAATTGATAGCTGATTGCAGGTAATCATCTGAATCAGGTGTGTTAAAGCAGGGAACATCTAAAACATACAGGACAATGTGCCCTGAGGTCCAGGGTTGGGAAACTAGTTTGTGACTACCTAATGTTACCACTAGGTGGTGATAATGTATCAAGTTGTTTGCTGACTTTAATGGTGCTTTTCAAGACGTGTGTACTTTTTTGTAATACAATGACAAAGTAGGTAATACTGTCTACTAGTGCTATCAATGAGCTCCACCTTTACCATCCCACCCTTCCACACTGGTCTGTTAAATTAGTGAGGAAGTTAAGGAATGCAAGCATTTTGAATAATGGAATTAGCAAGGGCATACAAGTCTGTTCTCAGGTGGACATGCTCATTTTTAAACACATATGTGAAACAGGAGAAGTTTTTCCTCATCAAAATTAATGTGACAAATTAATATTCATTTATGTTGAATTTCTGTGTTCAGATTCATGTTAAAATTGTGATGTAACAGTTTGTTGTGACCAAAAAGAAAAAATAAGTAGGTCCTCTGGATGGGTTCTTCTTTAGTGAAACGTTTCGTCTCTCCTCCAAGAGACTTCTTCAGTCTGATGAGTTTCAGGTGAAACTCAGCCTCATAAGCACTGCCTCCACATGGTGGACAAAGAGGTTAGTCACATGCAAAAGAGGGCCATCGCTTAACAATAGGCTTGATTAGCTCTGTTGTTCATAGAGGGTCATGTGTCCCATCACCTGACTCATTGGTTTGGATGCTTCGGCTGTGGTTATTTGGCACAGAAGCATCCAAACCAATAAGTCAGGTGATGGGGCACATGACCCTCTATGAACAACAGAGCTAATCAAGCCTATTGTTAAGCGATGGCCCTCTTTTGCATTTGACTAACCCGTTTGTCCATGTGGAGGCAGTGCTTATGAGGCTGAGTTTCACCTGAAACTCATCAGACTGAAGAAGTCTCTTGGAGGAGAGACGAAATGTTTCACTAAAGAACACATCCAGAGGACCTACTTATTTTTTCTTTTTGATTTTTTTCTACCTGGATTACTGAGATACATCAGGACAGTTTGTTGTGACACTTTTTGAGGTGTAATAATTAGCACCATATGAGAAAATGGTGAAAAGTGAGAATGAGTCATGTGATCTTTTTCTGTCTGTGGATAAAGATCAAATGCTTGGAAATAAATTGAATAACTGCCTGTAGTTTTACTTACAGTATTTTTGCTTGAAATACCTGTTGTAGTTTTTATTTTATTTTATGTTTGCCTTGTAATTAACTGCACCTGTCTTGCAGCATCGACTAACATACTCACCTTCCTCCACTGCTTTTGTGTTTGCATGTTTGGCCTATTAAAGGCAGCACCAGTGACCCTGCTCTGCCATCCCCTCACCAGCACACTGTCAACAAGCCTCACCAAGGGGAGGAGCAGTACTCATCTACTGCCACTAGGCGGCAGTGTTCTACCTCTCAGAATGGCTCAGAGGTAACTGGGCCTCAGGCCAGCTCTCCCAGGAGGGCAGCAGCTCAGAGAAACACAACTTCATGGTCAAATCAAGGATGTGTAGATTCCAGCAGGCAAATGAGGAGTGAAATGAGAGAGCCAGTAAATGAGGATTCAGACGACTCCGACACAGTTTTTAACCAGCAGCTCGCTTTTTGGTGCCGGAGGTTGTATGGTAGATCGAACAGGACAGCTCATCAACAGCCAGCGCCGTCTCAACAGCAGCATGAGAGGAATCGCAGACGTTTTTCCTCTCGCAGAAGCCTCCCAGATGAGTTCAACAGCTGGCAGGAGGAGGAGACGGAGAACTTGGACGAGCACCGCTATGAAAATGATGACTTCCAAAACAGAACAGCTAGGAGGGAGGCTGAGGAGAGAAACCACAGAGATGGGAGTTTGCTCCGGAGCAGGGAGCAGGAGACAGACTGCAGGTCGTCTGAGGTTCGAGCAAGGTGGTGTCGTCGTAGTGAATCGGTCAGGTCACCCGACAGAGGTAGACGGAGAGACCTGTCGAGGACCTGGAGTTACAAAGACAGCTCTGACAAACATGTCCGTTTTCAGGATGATGACAGACGGCGCAGGCAGCAGAGCGAGAACAACCAGGTGTGGGAGATGCTCGGCCGGATACTCAAAGAGCGTGGTGTGCCCGTGAGGTTCGGTGGCAGCGGGGCGCCGCTGCAGATAGGACCTCAAAGCAGAGACAGCGAGGTGCTTCACAGAAGTCAGGTCTCCTATCGTGACTCCCAACCACATCAGAGGGCCTTCCAGAGAGCCGCCATCACCAGGCACAGTTTCCATGGAGATATCAGAGAGAGGAGGAGACTGTCACACCAGGAGAACAGTGGGAGAGATCACAGAGAGGTCCAAGACAGGCCCCGTGATGATAAAGAGCTGAATGAGATTAATAGAGGAGATCCTGTTAACAGAGAAAGACCAGGCAGCAGGAGGGGGAAGGAGCACAAATACACAAACGCTCATGAGAACGGAGAGAGAAACCCGAGCCGTAGCAGAGTCAGGAGGACGGCGAGTGAACGTGGGCACTGGCACAGGATCACAGAAGAAAGGTGGAGCTCTGAGGAGGAGCAGGAGGCGGAGAGGAGAGGAGAGCGTCCTAGACGAAGAGCCCTGCAGCGTAGCCAAAGCTTCAGCAGCAGAAGGGCTTCAACCCAGCACAGGTTGAGCCGCGAGGCCGCAGGTAACACCCAGACCTGCTGCTGAGCCTCATCTGCAGAGGGGAACGCTTCCAGTCATGTTTCCTTCCTCTTTATTTACACCTGAGCTCCTCTTTGTTTACACCTGAGCTCCTCTTTGTTTACACCTGAGCTCCTCTTTGTTTACACCTGAGCTCCTCACCTTCCCTCCGTTCTTCTCCTGCTGCAGTCCTGGGCTCCAGCTGGAGCTTCGGCTTCTCTTTGTTTGGGGCCTTTTTCTGGTTTTATTTCTTCAGTTGATTGATTGTAGTTCACTGAATACATCCAGTCTCACCTTTTCTCATCTTTTATTCATGGTGATTTAATGAAATGWCTTTTCAATGATTTCTTTTACTTCTGGTTTCTTTGTGTGATTCTAAATGTCATTAGGGTGTGGTGCATTCCTGACTCAGCATATTTTTATGATTCATCCCTGACTGTGTCAATTTGTTTTTCTTGTGATTAGCAAATCTCATGATTGTGACACTGTTCTGATAGTTGCTTACATTTTCTTTTTATCTGTTTTTTTGAAATGTCACTGTTTAACTTTGTGCTTAGGGGCTTCGCTTGAACCTGAACCAAGAGAGGCAAGCCTGAATCTGGGGGAGCTGCAGCAGGTCTTATTAGACGAGGAATTGGCTCGTAAGCTTCAGCAGGAAGAGGAAAAGCTGTTAAGAAGGGTGAGTAATCTAAAACCTGGTTTAACAGGATGGTGAAAAAATATTTAATTAAAGATATTTGTTTTCTTTTGCTTTTCTCGTGATCTTCTTTTCACAGGTGTCCCAATCCTCGTCACGTGGCTCTTATCCAGAAGGGGACTTCAGAGTAGCACAAGTAGCACAAGATGAGGTGCACCAGTGAGCTAATGACATTTTTTTATATTTAACATTAATCTGGAAAAAAATCAAACCATGTTTGTTTGCTTTTTCTTAATATCTAGGAAATTGCACGCTTTATGCAGAAGCAGGAAATTAAGTCCAAGCGTCGATCTCGTGAGCTGGAAGGTCCAGCCTCTTGGCAAGAACACCGAGCAATGATCAGTCATCACGACAGACGAGCTACCAGAGAGAGACAGGTACGAATGTCCATCTTAAAGTTCATTCATCATCTTTTTATGGCGTTCTGGTTTATAGGCTCAGCTTTCACTAAAAAAAAAACAACTAAAAACTCTCCTTTTTTTCTCAGGTTCAACGAGAGCGACTGGACTCCGAAGGCCTTCCTTCACCCACTGACGACTGCTTCCCAGAGAACCAGCCTCCCAGTCCCATCACCACCATACCGTAAGGAAGACAAACGCTGCATGTCTGCATTGTTACCGTATGTCTTCAACATTCCCTGTATATGCTGACGTTAAACTGTAATCACTCCAGAAAAGCTGAGCCCACGAGAAATGTTGCAGAAGATTTGGACCCAACTTTCCAGGCCAGGAGGCAGGACTCAGAGAGCTTCCGAGAAGGACCAACGGGTGCTGTAAACAGGATAGATGACCGTCAAAATGAAACTGTCTAAACAATAGTTGCTCGTTGACTCATTGTTCTCTTCAATAGGTCCAGCCAGTGGGTCACATCCCAAGGCTCAGTCGGGCTTACACGACTTCCTCGAGGAAACCACATTCATCCCTCCAACAAAGAGGCAGCCAGACAAACCAGGGAGGAGTAAACCCAAAGAGAAGAAAGAGGGCTGCAAGCAACARTAGTGTTCAACACACTGCTGTTTGTTGGAGTTTATATGTTTTTACTAAACTTATTAGTCCAACTARTTCTCATTATTGCTATATTATGACTAATTGAAGGACACACCCCAGCTGGCACTTTGATAAGGACACATTTTAATGAACTTGATGAAGAATTATGCTAACATGTTGGACTCACCTGTAGGATTTCCAGAAGGTAATTTAGTTCTTTCACACTTACAGGTTATGTTTAGATGTCCTTTCTGCTGCAGAAACACTAAATGTATCAGTTCAGTCTTGTATCATGTGCAGGTTTATTCTAAAACGTCGGTTATAAATGTGTGTCTCTGTGTCTCCCCTCCTCTCACCTGTTGACAGCTGAGACCCCCTTCCTCTACACCCTGAACACAACAAGGCAGTCTGACACACAGAGACAAAACCAGATTTCATCTTAGCTGAGAGAGTTAACAGGACTCTATCAGAAACACTGAACTGTTTTCTGTCAAGCTTTGCCAACTTTGTTTCTGAGCAGTTTGTCCTGTTTTCAGTTTACAGTTGTACAAAGACAATCAAATGATGTTATTTCCCTGTTCAACACACTGTTCTGGTTAAAAAGGTGTATATTTACCTGCATAGTCTTTATTGTAAAGCTCTGTAATATTACTACATAGGTATACCAGATAAGATTAGAAAAGCCATTCTTGCCCTTTTGTAAGAGTCAAAGATCCCAGCTCACAGCTCCACTGCTAGCTGCTACTGCAAGGTTAACTACTTTTACATTTGTTGAAATATGACACCAAAGACCAGCACTGAGCTGTCAGCCTGGATCCAGTTATACCAGATAGGAATATTTATACAAAACACTAAGTACTCCCAGTAGTAAATGACGCTTGATTTTAATTTGCATGTTAATGTTTTTTTTTTGTTTTTTTTGTTTAGTCTGTTATTATTTCTGTTATTACATGTTTTGTATATTTCTTCAGTGCTCATCTGGACCACAGTGTATGAAGACATGCTGCATGAAAACACAGCAAATAACAAAAATACTATTTATTGAGTTCATTACAAATAAAAAATATGTACATTGTAAAAGTATGCCTACAGTACACTTGAATCCAGTGTGAATATAAACTCTGTGATCACATTTTATCTTAACATTCAGAAAAAGATCTTTATGATAAAAGTGCACGTTGTGAAATACGTATAAATGTAACTCCTCACAAGAAGAGACGCTTGTGAACTTTGATAGACATCACTCGACTCCCTTATGACTCAGACGTCGTAAAATGTGAAGTCACAATAGGTGTGGGCTCGCATTTCACCCATTAACCCACACGCATTTCTTAAACGTTCCGTTCTGTAAAGAAGGGCGGCTGCTACGGTTCAGAAACTAAATGTAGCATTTAAAAAGCAACCAAAAAAAATCATTTCCTGTTGGCCTTATCTCGCTGCCCACCTTACTGTGCTCAATGAGAATGGTTTCTCAGAAACACAAAAGCCTGTTGGGGTTTTCCACCTGACCCTGGAGCCTCATTATGCTCACTTGTGTGTGTTTTTGTGAAGCTGCCAAGTGTGTTAMTCACAATGACACACGTTTGTGAGTGTAGGAAAAAGGCACGAGGGTGAGTGACTAACAGGCACTGTCAATGTTCTTGTGATTTATAAAATATTGCTTCACAGACAACTTGTATTGCCTCTGAAGCTCAGCCAGCAGTAATGAGGTCCTGTACACAGCAGGCATTTTCTGCTTTAAAAATGTAAACTAGCAGGACTGGGGGGGAAACGGGGAAAACCCTCATGGACTTTTTCACTACCAGTTTGGCAACAGCTGGAAAGTCCTCTGATTGTGTACCAAGCTGCCAGCAGGCATCACTACTACCTTACAGTAAAACTYGTTCATGGGTGTATGTAAAATAGTTTTTTTTAAGTCTGTAGAAACCGTTCTAGTTTTCCCACAAAATTAGTCAAAAACAGACCCACACACTACATTTATGCGTTCAGAAATCAGTAGGTAACCACGTTAAGCCTTTTGCAGCCGCTCTCTGAGCTGACGTCTTTAGATGAAGGCGTGTGTGGGTTTAAAATTAGCACTGACTCAAATCTRTAGACAGCTGGACACCCACATACAGTGTACAACTCACACACACAGTGATAACACACATTCACATCACTTGCTTTAACAAACACGACTGGCTCTAATAAGTCCTCTGAAATAGGTCTTTGAACAAAAATGACCGAAACGTCGTGTTTTTGTTTCAGTCGGGGAAGTACAGCCTCGGTGTCTGCTGCTGTATGTGACTGAGACGTTCTTTGTCATCTCCTTAGTTTTAGTTTTTTTTCTTTCCTACTCTGAATTCCCCCTCCTCCCATGTTTGTGTAGAGTCAAAGGATCATTGTATTGTCTAATTATTGAGCAAAATGTAATCCACCCTGCTGAGATTACAAAGGAAGTGCTTTCTCACGTGCATCAGGTTGAATCTCTCCTTTGTAAGCGTTTACAAAATGGCCCAATGGATTGAATCCATAAAAAGAAAACCTGTGGTTCAGCATCACAGTATAAACATTACTTCTTCAACAGAACTCCAGATGCTACGGTGTGATGGGGCTGTCGGCCGTTTTCCTCCCATCATGCACTGAGCTCCTCTGAGGGCTCTTTGATCAGGGACTCTGTGCTGCTGCCCTGTTCYTGCTGGGCCTCGTGAAAACTGCACTCGATGGCTACTAATGTCCTGGGTTCATCTAAGGACGAAGAGGRAGATGTTTTTGTTAGGATTAGTAAATCAAATGTCAAGAGTGCTGCAGTCGTTACGTTTGATCTCACAGACCTGTAGGGCTTCTAATGATTGGTGTCTTTGTTGGCTTCTTCTCTTGATTCTTTTCTGGCTTCTTTCTTTTCTGGTTGAATTTTACAGCTGCAAACACGATGGTGACAACGGCGACGATGAAAAGCGCCATCAGAACTGCGATAATGACTTCATACATCACCGTTGTTCTCCACTGTTCTGTGTCACGTGGTTCTAAACACCAGGAAAACGTMCAAGTTCAACTGATGTACTTTAAATAGAAACAAGTTAGATGCATGAGGCGAGGCATGCACTCGGGTCTTACCTGGTTGTTTTGGTTTGTTCACAGAGCTGAAGGTCACGCACTGAATATCAGAGGATGGGTTTCCTTTGGCCACAATCACTTGATCGTGATGGGGACACCTTTGGAATTTGTCATTGAGAAAAATGACTTTTCTTGGTTTCTTTTAAAACCACAATAAATTGTGATTGTATTTGGTGTGTCGAGTGTAAAATACACATTTTTCCACTAACATTTTATTATTTAGATCACCGTTCTTACATTTTGCAATTTCTTTGACTAAATGTCAAATTTAAAGTCTTTTTTAAGCACTTCAGTAGAAAACAGAACTGAATGTTAGTTTCTTAATTTCTGCATCATCAGTGACTTTTTTTNGTTTTGGTTTGTTCACAGAGCTGAAGGTCACGCACTGAATATCAGAGGATGGGTTTCCTTTGGCCACAATCACTTGATCGTGATGGGGACACCTTTGGAATTTGTCAATGAGAAAAATGACTTTTCTTGGTTTCTTTTAAAACCACAATAAATTGTGATTGTATTTGGTGTGTCGAGTGTAAAATACACATTTTTCCACTAACATTTTATTATTTAGATCACCGTTCTTACATTTTGCAATTTCTTTGACTAAATGTCAAATTTAAAGTTTTTTTAAGCACTTCAGTAGAAAACAGAACTGAATGTTAGTTTCTTAATTTCTGCATCATCAGTGACTTTTTTTTAAATACTATAGTAAAAAAAGAAAAAGTAGAAGACATACAGTATATAGGAACTGTAACGAGAGAAACCGATAGAAATTAGACAACGTGAAATATACACAAATAACACACAGGACAACACACCTGACATCTGACCAAATGAAGAGAACAAACACCCAGCAACCAAACATAAACATATGTATGTACATATACCCATACTCACATACTGTATATAAACATATACACATATACACATCCACACCTAAGTACAATAGGTACAACCTCGCTAAATAATATACACCAAACACACACGTGTCAAATTTAAAGTTAATATATGAACATAAAAATCATAAATCTAAAAGTAAAAGATAAATATTAAATTTAAATGTTGAATTCACATTTTAGTATTTCAGAATGGAACACAGCCTTTGCGGTTGGTGCTCGGCTCTTGTGATGTCATCATCATGAGACAATATCAACCACTAACGCTTAGCCACAACATTTCAAATTTTCACTTTTACAGTTAGATTTACACATTTAGACATAGGGTTTAATATTTACACACATTGAACTTTTAAGTTGAGCATTTAATTTAAAAAAATGAGCAAAATGTAAGAACAGGATAGTGACATTTAAAAGCATTTTATTTTACACTTTGAGTGCTCCATACATACAGCTGTCAGAAAGCTCACCTGATACTCCAGGGTTTACACTTTTGAAAACTCTTGTCGTTGAAGGTTCCATTTGGACAGGGTCTGCAAGAACCTGAGGATGGAGAACAATGTCTGAGCTGATTTGTGTTGCGGACAGCTGATCAGGTGAAATGAAATAAACGTCTAAAGTTTTCCTCACCATCATCTGCACGCTCATAGCCTTTTCCACATTCAATGAAACAGTGGGAGCACGCTTCATCCGCACAGATGAGTCCGGCTTTGCAGCCACACTGTGTGTCACTTTGGATGGTGCAGTCTTTCAAATGGATTTGAGCACCTAGAAGGCAATGGGGTCTTGTGTAAGTGGAGGTAAGTTCAGACTGTGATGAACTGCAGGGTTATTGTCACTCAGTGGACCCAGTAACGTACCGACACACTGTGAACACCTGGTACACCTGTACTCCTTGGGTTTCAGTGTAAAAGTCCCAGGATCACAAGGTTTGCAGAGGGTTTTCGGATTAGGACCACACAGCCTCACCAGCCTGTTCCCTACAAAGAAGCACAGGAAGAAGAAGAAGAAATCAGACATWACTTCACTGTGAACTCCGTCACAGTGGCTGTAAATTGAGCTTTACTAGTTCTGAGATCATTTCAGACTGAGCTGATAATTCACACACAACATTTATAAATATAAAATAGTTAGCCAGAGTCAGTAGTTGGATTTCTGAATGGATTAATCAGTCACATCGTTTTACGTGTTTGTTGTGGGATTAGGTGAGAAACCACTGAAACTATCTGGGTTCATGCAGCCACCACAGTGGAACTCCTCCATACTTAGGAATGTAACCTTTGAACATTTACCAGAACATGAAAAACTGAAAAAATCTGGTAATTTTATCAAATATATTACATGTTTTAAATGTTCTTTGTTGATTTTAAGAACAGTAACAGAAGAAATGACATGCAAGTCTTTATAAAACATTAGTTTTTTTATGTGTGTGAAGTAAGTTCAAAAATACATGATTTTTTTTAATATTATAGTTTTAAAAATTACCAGGATGGCATTCCTGACAGCAAACATCATTCCCGTTTGAAGTCCATATCTTGCAGCCCATGTCGRTCTGTCCAGGACTGGTCCTGCAGCCCTGAGAGAGCAGAGTCAGAACCAGCAGCCAGAGGATCCCAGCCATCCTGCAGTCAGCTCCAAAGCCTCCAAGGTAATCCAATCCAGGAATTAATCCAAGAGAACTCTCAGGTATCCTTCTAACTATTCTTCTTCTCGTTGTTATTGTTGATCTAAATCTTGATTTCTGTTTGTTCTTCAGCCTCTTTGATGCTCCCTGTAATTTCCAGTTTAAAAGAAGCTGCAGTGATGATCTGTCACCAGTCTGTCACAAACTCACCTCACAGCTGCTGAGCCTCCTTTTTACAGGGCAGTTTTTTTTAAACTTCCTCCCATGAAGTGGGGGCGTGGCTTTCAYATGTAGAGGTAATGTTGGTCTGAAGATGAAACAAAGAAATGATGTTAAATATGCTGACTAAAATATAGAATATAACTTTTAAAAATCAAGCTTAAAAARGTAAAATAATTATCTGACCTGTTTTGAACCTGTTTTTTCCACGTATCAGTTTGTTGCGTTCACTCATTTTTCCTGCCCCCCCCCATTTATGAGGAAGTGATTGGCTGCAATGTAATCATTCATCTGTTTCCTGCAGATTGTGTGATGATTGTTTCACCGCAGATCCAGATAACATCAGAAAGTGAACAATAAATCTGTGTGAGGCAGGGTTTTCCCCACAGGAATCAGAGCTGTGGAATAAAGTTTGTTATTAAAGCTGAGATGAACAGAATTGAAAGTGTTWAAGCCAGAGGTRCCCAAAGTGGGGCCCGTGGGCCAAATTTGGCCCGCCAAGCCATTTGATTTGGYCCACTAGCAGTTATCCTGGTTATTAGATTATAATCTCCTGTTTCATGTAGAAATACTATATTTGCACTTAGTCTTTTCAAACATTGGTCCAACTATAGGTACAAGGAGCTCTAGTCAGATAAACTTAACTCATGGTGCTCACTTTATCTTTGAACTWTGTTAAGATTAAACTTAAAATACAAGTAACTTCAAGAGACATTTATATTAGATTTAAGTTCATTTCTAGATTTGCACACCTTATAAGACCCCATATACTCAAATTTTAAATTATGAAAAGTCCCATGAGCCTTTGCTGCCCGAGCAAACRTTGAATTTTMTCCATGTCCATGGGCTGGAAAAAAATGTGGACAACCGCACTGGCTGCAGCTTAATCATAAAAAATACAACTTTCCTTGAAATATTTACATTTCGTGTATTATATTACTGCATTTGGCCCACCCCACTCAGATTGGTTTTAATTTTGGCCCTTTCAGAGAAAATGTTTGGGCACCCCTGGTTCAAGCTGTAGATCAGGGGTGTCAAATTCATTTTCACTGAGGGCCACATGAGCGTTRTGGTGGCCCTCGATGGGCCAGGTGTAATTTTGTAATTTTTACTTTTCATGTTTAACTTGACTAAACAGCGTTTTCACACATGTCCTCTTATAAACACTGTACAACTGATTAAATCTGAAATGCAGAAATAATATTAAAAGTAAAACTAAGAGTTTTACTCATTGATGAGTTGTAGTGAGTAGCTGCCACCTTGAATTCTGAACTCTCCCACTTCCTGACAGGGAACTCCCATTAATGATCAACATGTAATATGGCAGTTTTAGTCTGTGGTCGACGCTGGATTTAAAGCAGCTGATTTTAGGACATCATAAGACCTTATTACTGAGCTAACTAACTAAATTGCTCAGTTACTTAAAGCCAACAGCTCAGGGGCAGGATAGGTATTATAATCTTTCACCTTTTAAATTTGTTTATATTGTTGCATTTAATCATAAATTTAAAGTTTACCATTTATATAAGAAACAATTTTCATATTAAGTGAAAAAAAAAAACACACAGGCAGGCCAAATGTGGCCCGCGGGCCTTGAGTTTGACACATGTGGTTTTAAAGATTACATAACTTTATTAAACATTATCTGGGAAGGACTTCATTGGTGCAGACTGTGTGGATATTTGACTGAAATCATTAAAAATACATTTTTTATCTTACTGATAAATAATTATCTAATTTTAAAATACTGGAGGTAATCTGTCACACTTAATATTTTATTGATTATATCTATATTAGGTGTGATAGATTAYTTACATTTTTTAAGTTGAGTAATTTTCAAATTTCTGAAATGTAAAAGTTCAAATTTAAGCAGATTACAGCGGAACGGTCAGATAAGATCATTAATTTCAGGTCAGGTCAGGAAYATTTGCTGACTCGTTGCAGAGCTGTGAGCTCAGATTGCTGACGGTTCTTTTCCAGAAGATTTTGTCMGATTTGTGTTGCTTGCAGCAGGTTTCTTTTCACACACTGCAGAGCTGACGTGTGGAAAAAAACACGTGAAAGTGGATCCTTTCTGAGCCAATACAATCTGCAACCTGGACCATGACTGTTTAGTTACTGTAGTGTGACTACAGTGTGTGAGGTGGCCTGAGCAGGTTATTTTACTACAGAAGTTGCTGTAAAATACATTATTATAGATGCTTCCCACCACCCCGGTCTTCTAAAACAAAACAAGTTTATCTTCAACCTTGAAAAGGTAGGAAAATCTCTCCTTCAGGATAAAACTAATAATCCACTGATGCGCTGCATTCAGAATTTATCCCACAGATTTGAAGCTGTAATCTTGTTGTTTCGGATTATTCGACGGGACTTTCCTGCTGTTAAAAAGATTTAACCAAGCTTCACAGACAACAAAAAAATGAGTCACAAGAGGAAGCTTTTTTTTTTTATAAATTATCTCATTTTAGATTCGACAGAATTAGGACTCACACGCCTGAGTCATGTTACAAAAATCTGATCTGAAGTCACGTGAGACAGAAAGGCTTGAGGGTACTGACAAATGAAAAACTCCCCACACTATCATAAATTATCATTATTATTGTCTTGTCAAATGCTTTGTTTTTTCCCTGAAGATAACAAAAGTGAAATCAAAAGTRCAGGATAAGTATCAAACTGAAAAGAAATCTGCTCCTGTTGTATTGTTACATATTTTTGACCTGTATGGTATTAAGCTGTTATTTACTTCGAAAAGGGAACTGGGGTTCCAGTAAAGTACGTTTTGACTCTGGGAAATTTCCTGGCTTGTGATGGGATCCGAGGTGACTTACAGCAGTCTGAACTCAGATGTCAAGTGACAGTGAGCGTTAGAAAACAAAACAGATAAAACACCTTGCTGGTGTTTGTCACGTTCGTCCTGCTTCACCAATAACCTTTGGCCTTTTGATGCAACACCCAAGCAACATGTCGTCTCCTTTAGGAGCAGCGACTTGAGAGTGATGTCAAGAGTCAGCAGCCTCAGCCAACACAGGCTTGACTGAGAAACACCTCCCACACTTACCCTTCAGCCTCCCCCCAAACAAGCAGCTATGACGTAAAGTAAACTCTAATTAACATGTGGGGAATACTTTGTACTTGTTCAGTAAACACTGCAGCAGATTTGTTCAACCTGCTGGTAAATGATGCTGTGTGTGTGTGGCCTTGTTTTTCCTATATCGTGGGGACCGGGTGCTCCTTGTGGGGCCCAAAGCCTGGGTCCCACAACTTCAGAGGCTGATTTTGGGTGGGGGGTTAGGTTTAGGACCAAGGTGTGAATTGAGTTTAGGTTAGTTTTAGGGTCAGGTAGGTACCTGTGAGGTTAGCTTAGGGTCAGGTAGGTACCTGTGAGGTTAGTTTAGGGTCAGGTAGGTACCTGTGAGGTTAGCTTAGGGTTGGTGGTCAGGGTTAGGATATAAAATTATCAAAAAATGAATGGAAGTCAATGGACAGGCCCCACAAGGGTATAAAAACAAGTTTGTGTGTGTGTGTGTGTGTGTGTGTGTGCGTGTGTGTGTGTGTGTACTGGCAGGTTCTCTCAGTTAAACTGCAGCGGTCAGTTGTGACAGAAATAGTAGGAACTTCACAGTTAACAGAAATTAATTGCAGTCTGTCAGCAGCCTGTAGATGAGAAGACCTGCCTCTGATGTCACTTCCTTCCTGTGAGACGCGCTCGGGCGCGTTGKAGTGTGACGCTGCTGCTTTGTGGTTGGTGGGGTCGATAAGATTAACAGGGGTCTGTCTGCCCGCGCTGTAAGCAGTGACTTGAAAGTCACATCTGCCCACCTGGAAAGTACGCAGAGYGCCGGTGCTGGAAGTTCCACGCACGGGTGGGAGCCAAGAGACGTCAATCAAATGTTGATGACACATTGAGTGTTGCAGAGCAGCAGACCTACAGTTTATCTGAAAGCTGGAGACGAAACGCATCGGTTTGTTCTGAGCTCTGTTCATCACAAAAGGGTCGTTTTCGTGACAAACCTCACTGCTTTTCTTAGAGCTGAGTGTCTCCATCTGGTGGTGTTTCTGTTTTGTCAACTAAATATCATCTCTGATTTGATGCTTTTACGTTTCAGTCCACACACAACAGAAACAGTTTTGTTGTTTGTTTCTAGTTTCTTTAAAATTTCAGAAGTGAARGATTAAAATCTCTTGTTCTGACCAATCATTGGGCAGAAATGTGTCAAAACAGATTTCAGATGGACAGCTCTGAGGAGGTAAGTGTTTGTCTCAGGGAAAKTTACTATTTTATTTCCTGTTWTTTAACCAGGCATTAAGATCACACATCTTTTGCAAGGGAGGCTCTGAAGGCGTGGTTTTGTGTTTTGGAGGAATACCTGAAGAAAACCCACAAAAGCATGAGGAGAACATGCAAACCCTGCACAGAAAGACCCCAGGTCTGAAACGGGAATCAAACTCATGACCTTCTTGCTGAGGTGCCAGTACGAACCACTGATCCACTGTGCCGCCCCCACTGAAAAGCACAAAACCCTGAGTGTCACCCAGCTCATATAGAAAATAAAAAGCTGTGTGAATGTGCTCCAATGACGGTCGACAAATATTTGAACATATATACTTTTTTTAATTCATATATAATAAATTTTTATGTACAATTTATCTTTTTTTTGTAACGAAACAAAAAGAAAAGAAAGCTTTGATTGCAAACAGTGTTTCATACTAAAAAAAGGGAAGGACAGACAAAATGGGAAAGTGCTCAGGAAAACTTGTGTTGTTTCCCTGTTTTTGTGTTTAGGTCGATASAACGGGGGGGCTGCCGTTGTTTTGTAAGGAGATCATTTTGTTAGCCAGGATTCCCCTTGAGGTCAGTCTGAACTCACGTGAAATGCAAAGTAAATCAGTAGAAAGGTTTGGCTTTATAAACAGCTCAGACGTTACGAAGAAGCATCCACATGGTGTGAGGCTCTGGCTTTTAGCACGCTGACTTCTCGGCACACAGCCACGTTGGGGCTCTGCTGTTTGGATCTCAGTCAGYTGGGTGACACATTTAATGGTACATTCGAATAAAGCGCAGCCGAAGCAGTGAAAACTGGCTGCGACTCACAAAGATGYCTGATTGTCTGTCGGGGAGCTGCAGTTAGACACACGGTGACACCGTCAAYGCAACGCGACCACATAAATAACATCACAACATCATCCAGTGTACGGGTTCATCTTTTAGAACATCGGCACGAG